GAAAAAAAAATGTAATAACTTTCTATGTGATACTATTCAGTAAGAGTTAACTAGTGAAGTCACTCCAGTCAAGTTTCTTCAATCAGATTGTAAAAAGACACGGGCATATTCCAGTGTGAAAACCAATCAGGTAGAAAAAAAAAAAGAAAAAAGGAGACAATACCCATGTAAACAAGGCAAACAAGGTCAGCCTCCATCTAACATCTCAATCTATTTAGAACCCAAGGAAGGCTGTGGCAGTGCTCCTTAAATGATTGTTGCATATCTGAAAATTGAACAATTTTCCTTCTTAATGAGTAAAGTAATTGATGGAGAACATGTTAATTTATAGCAATACTCTACAAACACTTTTGAAAGTTGAAGTAATTCTTAATTTTAAATTTACATTGATTTTAAATCTCTAGATATTTGTTTGTAGTGCACTAGAAATGGACATGATGTGTATTTATAAAGAGTTTTAACTTTTTTTCTTGAATATATTTTATTTATCACATAACTGGTTCCTCTCAATAAGCTGGAACATCATTGAAAAGCTATTTTAGCAATTCAATTTAAAGTCAAACGTATATTGTAGATTCATAACACAACTTAAGTGATATATGATATAACTTAAATATTTATTTGATGATTTTGCCCTAAACCCACAAAGATACTCCATTAAACTCTTGTTATATAAACCCAAATAAAAGCATTTTTCATACAGAAATGTCATCTCCCTCTAGGCTATTCTCCATAGACTCTCTATGGGGTTAAAGTAAGGCCAGTTTGATGGTTAATGAAGCACAGTGTTACCATGGCGACTAAAGCTTTTGGCAGTGTGGGCAAAAGCTTGGCAGGTATCAAGACTTGCTGGAAAATGAAATCAGCATCTCCACTGTTTGCCTCCTGGTAAACAGCGGAGATGACAACAGAGTTGAAGTAATGGTGGAAAAATAGCAGCTATGTCTGCAGTTGCTTGTGCATCTTTTACAAGTCACTTTTTCCATCCACTCAACTTTCCATCAGTGTGTTTCGATACAGCACTCCGACCAACCAGGCTCTTCAGCAATGGCCTTTTGTACCTTACTCTCCCTTTGGAGGATGTAACTGTTTGCCTGTTGGAAATAATCTTCCCACTTATTGTTTAGGCCATAATATTTCTGTTAAAAATGATTTTTATTTGTCTAAGCTAAACTATTCATTAGCTCCAAGAAATAATCATCAAAATAAACAGGTTATTGCGATATATCACTGTGTGTAATGACTCACTTTTTGAATGAAATTACTGAAATAAATTAACTTTTGGACAATATACCAATGTATCAAGGTTTACTGGTTGCTCATAAATAAGGAGGCACAGTCGGGGAGTGATGAAGGTTAAAAAGTAGTGTTAAATTACAGTAGTGTTTTAGTACTTTTGCCATTGTCTTCTTTAAAAAAGTCTCTGTTACTAAGACTGCGGAGTTTTACGATAAACTCCAAGAATCGGGAGCACTTAGAGAAGTACAATAACGCCCATAAACATGACTAACAAGCACACACCACAAAATAGGTGCAGAGATAAGGAAGGTGTTTACATTGAACGGAGAAGAGGGACAGAAAAGGTGAACAGTTAAAATAATAATAAAAAAGAACAGATCACAAGGAGAAGCTGAAGTGGATAAAGGAAGTTGGAAAGAGAGGCACAGAAAAACCCCGCTTTTTTTAAACTGGCCACTTCGTTTTCTGCTGCATTAAGTTCATGAATAAATCATCCATCCATTACAAAAAAAAAAAAAAAAAAAAAAAAAAAAATTCCACAATTTTCTTCCCCCATTTTTTCTCGTTTTTTTTCCTTTTTTGTGGGTC